CCAGCTGCCCATTCACTCACTCCATATGGGAGCCTATAGACTTGAGTTTTCAGGAGCGAGTAATTGTACTTCAAAGACTCCCCGCTAAACCACAGCTGCTCTCCTCTGTGTGAAACGTATGTGATGTCAGACCCACTCAAGAAAAAGATTCTCTCTCATTGTCTGTGAGGATCCAAAGGGGGTTTCTCTCAACTTGCATTTACTCCCATCAAATTCAGTGATTTACACACAAGCTCAGCTAACAGTAAAATTTGCCCGGAGGCTCTTTGTGGATCATAGCAAACCCCGCGCAACACGTTTGTGAAGTGTGTCGTGCATGGGCAGACTAATAATGATGCCTGCCCCTATTTTGATTTTTGTCTGAATAATTGTCTGCAAGAGCCAAAATGGAATGAGCAATCACAAGGCAACATTGTGGTTTGGGCAGAAGCCTGGGGTGAAGCAGACTATTTTGGAAAGTGCTTTGTGCTTTTGTGCTTGCTCCTTTGTTGTGGCACTTCACCCGATCATATTGAAATATTAGATTGAACATCACACGAGTTCAGAGAGAGCAGTCCCAGATTTAAAATGTGGAGAAATTGACCAGTGTTTAAAGGTGCACTGCTTAACCTTTCTGCTCTGAGTGAAAAAATGCATAGCACACTCGGTTGGCCGATGTCCAAATACTATTTTATTAACAAAATAACGTTTCGGCAAAAAAAGCCTTCATCAGATATTTTTCTTGTCTTGGACCACAGCACACAAAATGGTTGCCAGCCCAGGTGCCCATATACCCACTCAATGAATGGGAGGTCCCAAAGTGAGGTCACCCAGTGAGTTCAGCCCATTCTACAACAAGAAACAACAGTTTACATAAAAAACATTTTATAAAATACAGAAATAGTTTGTCTATTACAAAAAACATCTTAGATCAAACTCCATATTAAGTCCATGAGGAGTAAGAGTTTTAAGATGGTGAATCCAGAAGTGTCTCTTTTTGACAGGAGCATCTCTAGATTACCACCTCTAGGGGGCAGTTCCACATGTTCGATGCCAATATATCTTAAGGAAGAGATAGGATGGTTAAAATCAACAAAATGAGCCGCCACAGGATAGTTCATGTAACCTTTCTGCTCTGTCACTTGCTTGTCTTCTCTGACTTTTGAACACTTCTACAATTGTTTTTTTGTTTTGTTTTGTTTTTTGAGCACCGGGGACACTATTTAGTTTTTTAGTTTTATTAAGTTAGTTTCTTTAGTTTGCTTTAAGGTCACTTTATATCACTTATTATTTTCTGTATTATAATTATTTGCCTTTTTGTTACTTTGATTAAGTTAGTCGTTTAGTTAATTATTTAGTGTAATTCCTCCCTAGTGTTTAGCTTTAGTTGGTCCTCATGTATTTAAACACCTCTGTTCCTTTGTCTGGTTGGGTTAGTTTTGTTCTGTTCAGTTTGATTTTGCGTTACCCCAGTTGGGCCCAGCTTTTTTTGTCAATAATTTGCCTAATTTGAGCTTTTGTTAAATGATATCTTTTTTTTTTTTTGTGCCTTTATTAAATTTAAACTTATTTTTATAACTTGTCTTTGCCTTTCTGTTTGGTCCACTCCATGGTGCATGCAAGTGTGATATTTCCTTCTCTGATCAGTGGTAAGTAAATGCAGAACAAAATTTAAAGCTGTTTTTACTACTATACACTATGATTTAAACCTACATGAAAGTATTATAATTATTCAGAATACACTACACCGATTGGATCATGTGCCGGAATGCGCTAGAAAATACATTTTAATGCAGGTGTTCAGTATTCTAAATATTTTTTTTTTCTTCCCATCACGGTCTATAAAAAATCTGACTTGCAGGCAGTTTTTTTTTCCTACAACCTAAATCCAAAATAAGTGACAAAATACTGAAATACCACTAAAGAGAACCCTTTGTAAATTAACCAGCCGTGCTCCTGTGCAGGTTCATACAGTCAATAAGAATATAGTCAGTGCAATTTATAACTTCACAAAAGCATCATGTTGGAAATCATAAAAGTCTGTTCCTGTCACCGTTTTGATGCCTGTAAAGCCACATTATACGAGCCACATGCTTCAGCTGTGGTTTCATTAGCTTTTTGTGAGTGTAAGACGCTGAGCTCTCTCCTCGTGGACTTCTTATAATGTTCAGTTTCATGTGATTTAGTCAGCATTTCTGGCACAAGCTTACAAAACAAGAACCAATTTACTAAAAGTACTCTACAAATTGCTGCTTTAAAGATTTCCACATTATTATGATGATTTAAACTGCATTTTTACTGTTGGAAAAGATATGTTTATGTTTATTTCATTATATTGAATTATTCTGTATGAAAGACTATCCAGAACTACTCAAATTAGATCTAGCTATATTCATCTTTTTAAAGCTGCACTGTGTAACTTTGCTGGTGGAGATGTTGTTGCTTTGTCTGAAATGTTTCACAGTATGGCATTAAAGCTTTCTACTATCATGGATACCAAATCAGGCCAAGTTACTGGTGAAATCTGTGGAGAGGCAACCCTACTCAGAGTCCAAATTCCTGTTTTCCTATTTATTTTTGAGCAATAAAACCACCTGTAATTGACTAAATGCAAAGTAACCTGCATAATGAAGTCTCCTGCTTAAGGACACAACAACAGAACTTGGAAATTGAACATTTATCAGACATTATCATGATCAAAAATGACAAAAACAACAAAAGCTGCACAATTTAGGCATGTTTTTTATTTTTTTATTTTTTTAATCAAATATTATCCTGCTGCGTTACTGAATTTTTAATTGATAATTTGCATACTGTATCTAAAATCTCCTTAAGGATTCTTCTAAAATGTCTGCAAAATCTGAAAAGTTTGAAAAAATAATCGTCATTCCGAGATTACAACAGCTCCCTTATTATAGTTCGGAAGCTCCCCAGTCAAAGCAAACATCTGTCAGTGCTCAGAGCCTGCTACCTCAGTGCCACTGTGGGCTACATCAGGTTTATAAACACCACCACATTAGCAGGCGGCACAGTAATCCTTTCTATCTATAAGCCAATACGTGTCTGGAGGCATTCACTGACTTATTGTAGACATCTGCTAGAAAGCACAGAGCATTTTGGGCTCAGGGACATTAATATGAGTGTGGATATGAACCTCTTTGTGCAGCCAGAAGTAAAATATTCCACTTTTTGGTTATAGTTTTTAGCACCAACACATGTTTCACAATACAGTTTCAAGTGCATCTGGAGTGTGGGTCTGTGTTACATGCAGGCATTTGTTTTGTTTTTGTGCTGCTCTCTCCTCTGCCCTATGTGTTCAGGTGCTGTGGGTGTGACCAGAACTGGAGCTGATTGGCCAGCTAGCTGCCAATCAGAGTGGAGAGGGCTGTTTAAAAGGAGCTGTGTGCTGCCTCTTTCTCTCTCTCTCTCTCCCTCTGCGTATATGGCTGCTAGCCCAGGTTTGTTTGGTTGGGAGGATTGGTTAGGTAAGTTTGGGGATCCCTGTACATTTCACACCACGTAGATTTTTGTTGTTAGACACACTAGTTATCAGTTGTTGCCACCTTTGTTGTTTTGAGTTTTCCAAATTCTCTTTTTTAGACCAGGTAGGCTAGGCTTTTGATTTCTTTCCTTTTTGTAGCCTAGTTTTCAGTTAGGGCCTGTTTTGGTATACCTTTTTGTTTGTTGATTTGGCACAACTGGCCCACGCCTCCTCCCACCAACCTTTTGTTCATTTTTTGTGCACTTTAATGAATGTTTGGCTGTCAAATAAAAAGTTTGCCAAACTGACTTTGCCTCAAGGGTTGTTTTGTACACATTGTGTCCCTTGTTGGACATAGGGGACATAACAGTCTGTCATTACAATACTGAAGGATGGAGTGATAATACACAAAACTGTAGTCATAAAACACCAAATTGCTACAGATATTTGGTCCCAATAGTGTGTCATGACAGAAAAATCTAAACTATGGGTTTACACAACAGGAATAACAGAATAAATATATAAAAATATCTAAAGTATCAACTTTCTATAGTAATTACCTTGTTTGTGACATTGAAGATTTCTTGTCTTGAGGTGAAAAAGGTGAGTTCAATTTAATAAAAGGTTATTAGATAAAACTTAGATTACGCATCTTTACTTTGTGATAACATGTAATCTAACTTCAGGTTTAGGTTTTCCTGTGTAGGTTACTTAATCAGTCTGAGTTATGTAACCTACCTTGAACAAGAAGCTGGTGATTGTATTTCGAAAGCAATAAAATGTCTAAAGTCAAATATTAGTCTTTTAGAAGGGAACTATATAATTTTTGTGCTTCTGTCGAGAAAGATGTTATTAATTTGCCAAGACATTAACGAGATAAATGTTGTAAGGTGCTTTGAGAAAATCTTGTCTTACCAGTTTCACATCCATCCAATAGAAGTATTTTAACTTTCTACTATTACAATGGAAAATATTCGGAACCTCCAAAGTTAGAAACTTTTAAATGTCTGAACAGTGGCTTTAATGGGGACTGAAATGGTCAGTTAATAAGTGCCTATATTGCACTATTTTCTGATCCATATTAATGTTGTTTCTTCAACAAAACATACCTTGAGTTTTGTTTTGTTTCATTCACACACATTTAACACACAAATCCTGCATATTTAGGCTGTGCGCTTCTCTCAGATGTGTTCCACCTTATGATGTCATGTGTCCCACTGTGTTCTACATACACCTCACCTACACCTCGGATGATTTCAACCCTGGAACTGCCAATCTCTGCTGAACTAAAGGTAAAGCTTTTAACTTGAAAACTGCCTCTACATGGCATTACAAGGAGGAACAAAGCATTTTGAGCTTTGGAGATGTAGACAGACTAATAATAAAGGGTAACATGTCCAAAGTAAACAAAACAGAACTCCAGGCATGTTTATAATGAGGTAGCAATGTTAAAACATGTCTTAAAATACAGAGTAATTTTTTTTTGTAATATAAGACCTTCCATCTGATTTAATTGAATTTGATTCTCTAGTTTGTAGATATGGCTGCTATGAACTACATGCTGTCAGAAGACCAGTTTGTGTGCTCCATCTGCCTGAATGTCTTCATGGACCCAGTCAGCACTCCTTGTGGACACAACTTCTGTAAGAACTGCATTAGCGGTTACTGGGATAAAAGTAGTTGCTGCGTTTGCCCACTTTGTAAGGAGGCCTTCAACACAAGACCAGTGTTAAAAATCAACACTCTGCTTTCCCACATGGCTTCTCAGTTTCCAAGGCAACCACAAAAACAAGAGGAAATTTGTGAAGTCCCAGAAGAACCAACTAAAGACCAACAGGTTTTTTGTGACATTTGCTCTGCACCAAAGCTCAAAGCGGTTAAGTCTTGCCTGGTGTGTTTGGTGTCATTCTGTGAGATTCACCTGGAGCCTCATGAGACAGTGTCAGCTCTGAAACGTCATCAGCTGGTGGAGCCCTTATCTGACCTGGAGAGCAGGATGTGTGCAGAACATCACAGACCTCTGGAGTTTTTCTGTAAGACTGACAGCATTTGTGTTTGTACCCACTGCTCTTTTTCAGACCACAAAAGTCACAATATTGTTCCTCTGGGTGAAGAGTGTGAGGAGAGAAAAGCAGAAGTGAGGAAGATGATGGATGAGAGAAAGAAGAAGATTGAACAAATACGCAGTTCTTTGGAGCTCAGTCAGAAAGCAGCTGACAAAGTGACGGAAGAGGGACTGGAGGTGTACACAGCTCTGGGACAGGCTGTGCAGAAGAACTTGGATCATCTCAAAGAGGAGATTCATGAAAAACTCAAGACTCAAATCCAAATAAAGACCTGGTCGCTGACCTAGAAGACCAAATATCTGAGCTGGACCACAGAAACACTGAGATGGAAAAAACAGAAAACTCACAGGATTACCTTCACTTTCTGAAGACATTTACACCAGTCAAATCTGATCCAAACAAGAACTCCACCAGGGGCAGCATCTGTCAGGCCTCATTTGAAGGAGCAGTTGTGAGATCTTTGTTTGAGCTGGAGAAAACGTTCACTGATATCTTAAACAAAACCTATAAGGCCGATTTAAAAGCTAAACAAAAATGTGCAGTGAGTGTAACTTTTGACCCTGATACAGCACACCCAAACCTCATTATGACTCATGGCAGAAAACAGGTCCATTACAAAGATAGGAGGAAGAATGTCCCGGACAATCCTGAAAGGTTTTCCGATGCTCCTTTTGTTTTTGGGGAACAGAGTTTTTTGTTTGGGAGGTTTTACTTTGAGGTTCAGGTCACAGGAAAAACTCATTGTTTTTTAGGAGTGGCCAGAGAGTCCATAAACAGAAAGGGAACCATGACAGTAGGTTCTTCTTTGGGTTTTTGGGTAATTTATTTAGAAGATGAAAAAGGGAAAGCCGCTGCCAGTCCATATGTCAATCTTACCTTGAGGTGTGCCCCTCAGAAGATTGGTGTGTTTGTGGATTATGAAGATGGTGTTGTCTCTTTCCATGATGTAGATGCTGCAGCTCCCATCTACATCTTCACTCGCTGCTGTTTCAAAGACAAACTTCTGCCATTTTTCTCTCCATGGTACGCAGTAAATGGAAGAAACAAAAGTCCCATGATCATTTCATCTGTTGATTCTTAGACTCTGTCATTGTATTTGAATATAAGTTTCAAATGATGTTTATTTTGGATTTCTGGATTTCAAAAATGCCACTAGACTTAGCCCAGAAAATGAATTCAATATAACTCACCGCCATATTACAACTTTAGATGCATCACCAGATATGCAGATTTAAAATAACAATTGAAAATATGAACGCGTAGGATATCATAAATAGGGCACTGTAATGATAAATAGAGATGATAATATGCATTAGCTTTATATAGCGCTTTTCCACACCCTCAAAGTCACTTTATAATTTGGTGCATTATTCATTCACTTCATACTCAGTAGTGGTAAGCTACTATTACTATAGAGTGACAAAAGCAAGATTGCCAACAGCAACGCTCGGACACACAAGGCAACGTGAGTGAAGTGCCTTGCCTAAAGACCACTGGCACCCTGCTATGGCACCTGGTGCTCCCAGGGGTCTCCCATTCAAGCACTGACCAGATGGTTCGGCTACACAGAAATACAACACCATCAAATTCTTTGCAGCGCACATTGTTGCTGTAGCAATGTGTGTGCTAAACATCTGGACAGTGAGTGATCACAATAATTAAAAAATAATAATTTCTCTGACCCGGTCAGCTGCCCTGTTGGCCTGTGCCTAGAACCAACCCTGCACACATAAAACCAGAAGTGAAGTGTCAAAAAATACATATATATATATATTAACATGTTCTTGATTGATAATAATAGAAACCGTACTAACGATTAAACCACATTAAAAAGCTGTGTGTGTTTACATGTTGGTTTGATTGTGTGTTTTTTTTTCTCAACCCTCATTGGCAATAAAGTATTGAACATATTTCAAAGTTAGACATCTGGACAGTTTTTGATCTTTTGGATATTCCTGGATGAGAGAAGAAATACACCAACTACATTACAGTCCAGATTTTCCAGAGAAAATGAGATCTGATTTTAAACAGATTGTAGTAACATATATTATATAACAAATATTGCAATCGTTACCTTTAATCTGTAATGTCAAAATGATGAATGAGCAGTTTCTATGTATAGTATATAAACACAGCTTCTACTCACTTTTCTTCAGACCTCCTCAAATGGAGTTCCTCTTGGAGCATAATTAGCCTACTTATTTATTTATATTTCACACTCCGCATTGTATTGATTTTACTCGTGTGTAACTAGCATAGGATGATGGCTGGCCAGCAGGATTGGAGTGGCTTTGCGCAGGTCTGTCGTTAATGGTAACACAATAATGTAACAAAGGGTGGGCCTTGGTGCACCGCCTGCCGCAGCGTAATTGGTTTATGATTTACCGAAACTCGTGACTCACTAACAGCTTTTACAGAGTTCAATGCCTTGGTCAGCTTTTGAAATGTCAAAGAAAGTTTATTACAACATGCAGAGTTGATCCAATAGACTTTATTGATTCATCTGGCAGTAGTATCCTTACAACTATAGCCAATATCTATCTATGTTACTGGCATTGAGACATGATAGGCTAAGGAAGAAAAAATGATTTGATACGGCAATACATGCAAACCTGGCCAGCCAAAACCACATGCTTTGACAAAATTTTACAAAGGCGAGTGGATCTAGACCCGATTTTCAATGGGTGTGACTAACAAGCGGATCAACCAATCAGAGAGATGCATGGTGAGATGACTTAAAAAGGATAAAAACAACACAGATGACTAAGAAAAAATGTTGATATCAAGAAGAATAAACAACCGGAAGCACCAAACTCATTTGACCAAACCTCATATAAGAAATATGTACCACAAAACTGTTGTTTGATCGTCCCAAATTTGGAAGGTCTATGATCTGATTCCAGGACCCTTCTGGATTCAAACAGAATACAGTCTGTCTAAAACGTAGGCTGCTTGAAACAATTAGAGGCTATACAGTCCAGGGCATAAATACAAAAAATAAAGGAGTGTTGCATTACCGTCATCGAATATTATTTAATTTCTTGTTGCAAATAATTTAAACCCATGTAAGATCAGCTAAAACACAAGTGCACAAGTTCTGGTTTTGTAAAGAAATTCTTTTCCAACAGCTTATCGACAGACCCCATCAGAGTCCCGCCTGCTGGTCTTAGCTGTTACTTTGAAACATCTGAGCTCTTCTGGCATGTAGCCGCGTACATGAGGTGCTTTGGCCTCATAAAGTTTGGTGCAGTGTAATGCACCATTGATCACTGCACCGGACCATCTGCCCAGAGAATCAGAAAAACTATAAAACCTCTTCACTTTTAAATACCTCATTCTGCCCCTTAGCTTTTGTATTATTCACTTTAAGTTATTGAAAGGACTATTCTAGGTGGACTATTGCTCATACATAGTAAAGCAAATCTTAAAAGTGTACTCACTTCTCTGGTGAACGGTCCTCCATCGGCTTGTTTCTATAGAAATGTTTTTTCTTTGCCTGGAATGTTTATAGCATGTATAAACTATAAAGTGTAGGCTGCCACACACTACAGGAGAATTTGCCCGATTTAGGCAGTGATTTGTTTCTCCCTGAGTTAGGGAAGGCGTGACCCAACTTTGTGTCTTCGTGTGCAGTTTTGAAGCCACTACACTCCTTGTGTGTCAGTGCGATGCTGAGCTGCTCTTTCATATTGTAACCACCAACCATCAGCAATGCTACAGCAACAGCCAATAAAACATCCATCCATCCATCCATTTTCGTCCACTTATCCGGGGCCGGGTCGCGGGGGGAGCAGCCTAAGCAGGGACTCCCAGACTTCCTTCACCCCAGACACGTCCTCCAGCTCCTCCGGGGGGACCCCGAGGCGTTCCCAGGCCAGCCGAGAGACATAGTCCCTCCAGCGTGTCCTGGGTCTTCCCCGGGGCCTCCTCCCGGCGGGACATGCCCGGAACACCTCCCGAGGGAGGCGCCCAGGAGGCATCCGGAACAGATGCCCGAGCCACCTCAACTGGCTCCTCTCGACGTGGAGGAGCAGCGGCTCTACTCCGAGCTCCTCCCGTGTGACTGAGCTCCTCACCCTATCTCTAAGGGAGCGCCCAGCCACCCTGCGGAGGAAACTCATTTCGAGCGCTTGTATCCGCGATCTCGTCCTTTCGGTCACTACCCAGAGCTCATGACCATAGGTGAGAGTAGGAACGAAGACTGACCGGTAAATCGAGAGCTTCGCCTTTCGACTCAGCTCCCTCTTCACCACAACGGTCCGATACAGCGACCGCATCACTGCCGAAGCTGCACCGATCCGCCTGTCAATCTCACGTTCCGTCCTTCCCTCACTCGTGAACAAGACCCCGAGATACTTGAACTCCTCCACTTGAGGCAAAGACTCCCCACCCACCCGGAGAGGGCAAGCCACCTTTTTCCGGTCGAGAACCATGGCCTCGGACTTGGAAGAGCTGATTTTCATCCCAGCCGCTTCACACTCGGCTGCAAACCGCCCCAGTGCACATTGCAGGTCCTGGCTCGATGAAGCCAACAGGACAACATCGTCCGCAAACAGCAGAGATGAAATCCTGTGGTCCCCAAACCGGACCCCCTCCGGCCCCTGACTGCGCCTAGAAATTCTGTCCATAAATACAATGAACAGAACCGGTGACAAAGGGCAGCCCTGGCGGAGTCCAACATGCACCGGGAACAGGTCTGACTTACTGCCGGCAATGCGAACACAGCTCCTGCTCCGGTCATACAGGGACCGGACAGCCCTTAGCAAAGGGCCCCGGACCCCATACTCCCAGAGCACCCCCCACAGGACACCACGAGGGACACGGTCGAATGCCTTCTCCAGATCACACAAACACATGTGGACTGGTTGGGCAAACTCCCATGAACCCTCGAGCACCCTATGGAGAGTGTAGAGCTGGTCCAGTGTTCCACGGCCAGGACGAAAACCACACTGCTCCTCCTGAATCCGAGGTTCGACTATCGGCCGGATTCTCCTCTCCAGTACCCTGGCATAGACCTTACCGGGAAGGCTGAGAAGTGTGATCCCCCTATAGTTGGAACACACCCTCCGGTCCCCCTTCTTATACAGAGGGACCACCACCCCGGTTTGCCAGTCCAGAGGTACTGTCCCCGACCGCCACGCGATGTTGAAGAGGCGTGTCAGCCAAGACAGCCCCACAACATCCAGAGACTTCAGGTACTCAGGACGGATCTCATCCAAACCCGGAGCCTTGCCACCAAGGAGCTTGCCAACCACCTCAGTGACTTCGGCCAGGGTGATGGATGAGTCCGCCTCCGAGTCCCCAGCCTCGGCCTCCTCCTCGGAGGACGTGACGGTGGGATTGAGGAGATCCTCAAAGTATTCCTTCCACCGCCGGACAACGTCCCCAGTCGAGGTCAGCAGCTCTCCCCCCGCACTGTAAACAGTGTTGGTGAAGAACTGCTTTCCCCTCCTGAGGCGCCGGACGGTTTGCCAGAATCTCTTTGAGGCCGTCCGATAGTCCTTCTCCATGGCCTCCCCGAACTCCTCCCAGCTCCGAGTTTTTGCCTCCGCGACCACACGGGCTGCAGCACGCTTGGCCCGCCGGTACCCGTCAGCTGCCTCAGGAGTCCCCCGAGCCAGCAAGGCCCGATAGGACTCCTTCTTCAGCTTGACAGCATCCCTTACTTCCGGTGTCCACCACCGGGTTCTGGGGTTGCCGCCGCGACAGGCACCACAGACCTTACGCCCACAGCTCCGAGCAGCCGCATTGACAATAGAGGCCGAGAATGAAGCCCACTCGGACTCCATATCTCCAGCCTCCCCCGGAATCCGGGAGAAGTCCTCCCGGAGGTGCGAGTTGAAGGTCCCTCTGACAGAGGGCTCCGCCAGACGTTCCCAACAGACCCTCACTACACGCTTGGGCCTGCCAGGTCTTTCCGGCTTCCTCCTCCGCCAGCGAACCCAACTCACAACCAGGTGGTGATCAGTTGACAGCTCAGCCCCTCTCTTCACCCGAGTGTCCAAGACACGCGGCCGGAGATCAGATGACACGACGACAAAGTCGATCATCGACCTCCGGCCTAGGGTGTCCTGGTGCCAC